TATTTGTGCTAATTCCAAATCTCAGAAATAAGAAAAGTGCAGTTCAAGGTTGTCATTTGAAATCTATAGCTTTGTCTCTGCAACAGCTCAGTTTCATGGAATTTGGCAATGAAAAGAGCTGATACATCTGTCCTTCACTCTGTTTCCTGTCTCCGGTTAACCTTAAGGAGTACAACAGATGTATGTGTATGAATGAATCAATATTTCACTAAAGACCTTGGTAATGAATCTAGTCACTGGATACAAACAAGCTATTCTGATAACTTCAATTTCTTCGTCGCCCTTATGAGAAAATATTGATCTGCCTTTCCAAGATGTGTAAGAATTTCTGAAATAATGCATATAATGTGTTTTAATATTGAAAAATGCTACATAGCAACAGCAGCAGCAATTTTATAATGAAATCCCTGTTGTAGCCCACTGTTGGCCCCTTTTAACAGTCTAAACATAGGTTTTAAAGCTGTTAATCCTATCCCACTCCCAACAAGGTAAAGATGAGTGAGATGGGATATCAGCACGTCAAGATGCATTTATCCTAGTGCTGACATAAGAAGGAGAACGCAAGTGTCTGCAACGGGACGGTTGCCTTTCACCTACTTATTTTAGCTGGAGATAATGTCCCCTAGGAGATGGATGGAAGGGGGGAAATTCTTTGCATTGGAGCAGTAGATTAGGGGTGAATGATTGGGAAGATGGCCAATGAATGCAGAGGAGTGGGGGAAGGAAGAGGAGGGATTTTGGGTCAGCGCGTCAGTGCTGGCTGCATGGAGTCAGTGTAAAAGTTGCCGTGCTAAATAAAATGAAAGTTTGTTTCAAAAAAGACTTTTTTGAGACGCAATTTATTTGAAGATGGACTGAAAACCTGACATGGAGGCTATGATGGTGAATTGTAGGTTAATTTCTGGTGTACCATGCAGTACTTAGGTTTTTTTTTTTTATCATTGTCATTATCACCACCGCTATCATCATCTTACTAATACAAATCAGTTAAGCAGATGCATTGGGGGATCACTAAGAATTATGTTTTTCCTTTCAAATTATCACATCCTTCCATCTTTGCATTGGACACATATCTGGCTGCTTTCTTTGCCAAGAGATGTTCAAAAGCTTCTGTGGACACCTTTGTGCAATCTTCGGAACATGGAATTCTCTACAAAAAGGAAGTCTTTTGCAGGTGATAAAAATAATGCCATTATTAATTAGCATATATTAATGCCTGTCTCAGTTCAGAAGGAATTCATGTAGGGAAATGCTGCAGTCTGTATTTGCACAAAGGATAATTGATGTATGCGGATTATGCAAAATACATTAATTCAAGTGTGCAAATGGGAAATTGTCATTTGAAACAGTTTTGAAGATGAGAGATGCTGAAGCTTAAATCTGCCTGATTTGGATATTATTCCCACCATACCTCAGAAGTTCTGGAGCAGACTGTAATTAATCAGCACAGCATTATGCAAATGTTCAGGACATGCTCATAGATACTGGTTAGTTCACAATTCCAGAATTGATCTTTTAAAAGAGAAATTGTGTTAGAGATTATCCCTAGCAGAAATGAAATCTTGGAACTCACTCATAAAGTGGGGAGGCTACTGCCTTAGGTCTCTTCCCACCATAATAATGCTTAAAAGCTCTGTTCATGTCCATGAGGCTTATTATATTCACTCTTCCCTATTATCATTGAAAAAGAACAGTTCCCAGTACTGTATCCTAAACCTATTTAAGTATGAGAGCCATTTAGGTAACTATTGGAATCCTGGGACATGGATTCATTTTTCATAGTTGCCTATCAACCGAAATGCAGCCACAGATCCAGAAGAAAAAATGCAATCGGTCCTGTCCAAATTGCTCCACCTTCTAATAGTTACTATAATGGTGTGGGGAGAAGCCAACAGCATTTCCTCCAAATCCTGGAGATCTCATTTTCAGAGAAGATGCATTCTTTAACATTGCAATGGAAGCTAGAGCAGAGTGGGAAACCTGGAAGAAAGCAATAGTTCATCTCACTTGTGGTTCCCAATCCATATTTAGGGATCACTTCCCTATGACAAATTTTACCATCCACCAGTATGTTTGTTACCGTGCTAATTTGAATTAACTGAATGAAATATGTGTGATCAGCCTTTTTATAGAAATATGAATTCTAATCTACAACAAGAGTGAAATCCTATTTTCAAACCACTCAGCACTGTGCTGATATCAATGTCACAAGATATGAGATGTCTTATATTAAACTAGACCAGTGATCATTCTAGCTTAGCAATTTGGTGCCGGCAGATAATTCCTTTTGTGTGCATCAGGTTCTCTGTTCCACTGATTTTTAAAGATTATTTTGATTTAAAAAAAAATAGGAAGCCAGCATACTACAAAGGAAAGTACAGCCTCTGATATCATATGTACTTATAGCAATGGTTTTGGGGGTCACAAAAGTCCCATGGAGACAGTAGAGAGCATCTTGAGGTTCAATAGTCTTGGCCCAAAGTAGATTGCCCATTCCTCTTCTTTACTTACTGGTAGTGAGTCTCTCCCCATATACTTGAATATGATACAGACTTCTGCATGCAAGGTTAATCTACCCCTATTCTGCTATGTCCCTTCTTCTCTAAAACTTGTTGAAGTTTGACTGTATTGTACTTTGGTGCTTAACATTTTAACATACCTTATAGGATGCTGAAGAGAAAACCAAATGTCATAAAATGCACATTGTAGCCAGCAAGATTCATAACCAATCATTCTTTTGATTTCTGATTTTTCTTTCCAAAAAGACAACTTACCTGTGTCCAGATATCATAGCATTCTAGATTTCCCCTCTGTGGCTAATCAGGTGAAGGGAAGAATTCAGAACATTACAGTGTTACAGTATGTGCAAGTTGCAATATATGGAAGAGATTAAACTCATGGATTTTTCCTTCAGCAATTATCAAATCATATTTAATATAACTGTTAATGTTGCTCTGTGATTATACAGTATCATTTTCTGTTCAGAGTGAAATACAGAAATCTCCAGTCCTCACTGGGCAGATAATAGGTCCCACTGATTTAGAGGGGAATTTTTGTGAGCATAAATAGAACACCCAATAACAAGCAAAAGCCAGTTATGGAACCTTGGAAATGAAGTTTTTATTATAAGCAAAATATGCTGATCCTTTTAGTAATCCAGCTGAATAGAACTTTGGATGTTGCCAGTCTTGCACCAGCAACCTTCTAAGTTATGGGGAAGACCACCTGCATGTAGCAAGTTCTCATGTGCAGGTTTTTTTCCCCAATGCATGTGGACACCAAGAAATGAAGGGCTAACAAATGAACTCTTGTTCTTCTTTCAAACAATTCTCATTGTATGAACTGTTCCCTGGAGGTTTACTATGAATTTTTCAATGAAAAGGACACCAGAGATGACAGAATTTGGATACCAAGTTAGCTGACTCACTAACATATTTTCTTCCTTTCAAGACTTAACTGTGGGTCAGAGTTCTAGAGCAAGGTTCTCTCAATGTATCATGGCTAATGTAAACTTTCTGCCTATTGTCCTATCTTGACAGAATCACATTCATCTAGAAATATCCCAATTTGCAAGTTGGAATGCTTGAACCTCTGAAATCCCAACCCAAGTGGGAAGCACCATTTAAGGAGGAAGGAATTTAAACGTGCACAGTATCTCTAGCAGTGCCCTTTAGGTATTTAAACAAACTTGTAGTACCACACTGCACCTGTTTCTCCATAACTTCTCCAAGCACTTTTTTTTTTTAACAAGGTGGCCTAGCCACCTTTAACTTTCCCAAAATACTTTCTCATTGTTGGAAGAATTATCATGGGAAATAATAATAGTAAGCAAATGCAGCCACCTAATATTATTCCAAGTCCTGGTGTCATCCACCTTATTTGTCCTTCAGTCAAGGAAACATAATCTAAGGAGCTCTTCCCATGACAGTGGGCTGCCCATGGATCATTCCCACTTGGAGCTGACTTTCAGATTCACAAGCGTCCATATTCAAGTGCAATGCATTCCTTGAAGGTCACATATCTGGAAACCATTAGAAGAAAGGACTCTTTTGGATTTCTCTGCATCCCTGCTATGTTTTAATGCTCAGTTGGCCCTGGATCTTGTGCACTAAGAAAGGGCTTACTGCTGAGCCTCCACAGCTAAAGACAACTTTATCAACAACACACTGGAAGAAGGCAGAGATTTCTGCCTTGCAGAATGGAGCATCCAAATAGTTGACTGCAGATCCATAGCTTCCTAACAGCTTTAGCCACACTTCTGTATTCAATATCAGAAGCCTCATATATCTAGCCAGGCAGAAAGTCTAATCTCTGCTGGCGATGATTAAGTGTGGAATGGCAGGGAGTAGTTATCCCAGATTAATTTTCCTTAATTCAAGATTTTGTCATGAATACTATTTTGAATTTCCTCCCTTGGCTAACTCTTTCAGTCAGAGGTAGGGCTTAGTACTTATCCAAAACTCAGGTATCAAAAGCTGGGCTGGCATTTTTTAAGGGACTCCCTACAGAAGGGATGAAAGATAGAAAGAGAAGGGAGGGAAGGAAGGAGAGGTGGAACTGACCCTGGTTTATAACTATGCACAATTGCTTTGTTTCCTCTCTCTTCACCCCATCCCCAGGAAAAGGCAAAAGACAAGAAGAAAGGCAAGGAGAAGGGTGGACGGCAGGGTTAAAAGGCTATCGGAGAAGGGGCCCCGTCTCCTTCCATAACTGCCCCGCGGTTTCCCTGCCACCCCTTCTGGCAGGAAGGAGGAGAAGAATCTCTCTCATCCCTGGCATCCCAGGTGAACCCCCCCCCCTCCTCCGCTTTTCTCTTTTTTCCTCTCACCGGCTTCTCCTTCTGCGCAGCACTCTCCCTGGACCCTAAGGCTGGAAAGTTGACTGAGATGGCATGCCCGAAGCCCAAGCGTGGGTTGTGGGGTGCTCGAGCATCTGTCCCTCACTTTCACTCTCTCTCTCTCTGCTCCGGCCAGGTTCTCTGAGCACGATCCGCCTCTTACCTGCAGCATCCCCCGCGGTTCCATGGCTCTGCAGATCCTTTCCCCCCTCGCTTCTTCTCCTCCGTCCGGCCACCGGGAATCTCCCGCAGCATTAGCAGGCTAAACTAGAAGCAAAGAAACGTCGCGGCGGCAGCCTCCGCCCCCACCTGCTTCCACTCGCCGCTTCTTGGGGAGGGTCGATCTAAGGACAGCCTCCGGTGCCCCCCCCCATCCCCATCCCGCCCTATCTAATAACCGAGATTGGGCGGTTGCAGCCATTTGAATGGCAGAACATGACCCCCCCCCCTTCCCCAAGTACGGGCTGAGGGTACTAGGAGAAGATGGAGACTCCCACATTTGACTTTGCTTCCCCAGACTTGGATCTCCTTGGATAAACTCTCCTCCCCCACCCCACATTCTCTCCTCTCCCCCCTCCCCTATTTAAACTCGGTGTGGATTTTCTCTTATTGTGGAAGTGCTGGCTGCAGGTGAGAGCTGCTTCCCTAACATTCCTTGTGCCCTATGTCTTCTGCACTTTTCATCTGCTGTGGGTGATGGGCTAGATATGCAGCACATCTAGAAGCCACTGATTTGAGGAAGATATTTGGTGGATTTGGAGATCAGGAGTTCCCTTTGAGCAGAAGGGATGCCTGAAGGTGGAGGTCTCTGGAGGAGTTAGGATAAGAATGGAAGGGCTAGATTCAAATCTAAGGTCATCAGTCACCAATGAGACATCAACTTATATATCTAGAAGCAAACCATTAATTTTCACTGTACCTAGTAGATCTTAGATTGAAAAGTAGGATGGACAATCTTTTGGTGAGTTTAAGGGCCACAGTTAGCAGGACAATATTGCAAAGTAGATAGAAGCATTTTTTTTTCTTGGTGAGAAAGTTCTGTTGCTTGATACTATATTAATGCTATTATCAGCCATATTTCCCTGCCTCCAAATGGTGAGAAAAAGTTCTTCCAGTGTTTAGTAGTCAAAAAGAAGTTTTGCCATTACAAAAAGGGGACGTAACTCTGTCTCTTAATTTTTTTAAAAAAAATCAGTTTATTTATGATTACCTGCTCCCAAAACATCTTGGATTTTAAGGTTGTCTAACAACATTGCATAAAACTGCATCATTCCCCACTTAATAGCAGAAAGATTGTTGAGCAAAAGGATGTTTTGCATCTTGAACCTAATATATTTTTGAGTAATTCTGCATTTGTATCATTTAAATCTCTTTCTCTTTGTGATTCTCTTCAAAAATTAGTAAGAGATGAACCAATCTTTCCCGTTCTGCATTTGAACAGTCTTTAGAGCTGCATTAATATTAGTATTCTGCATTAGTATTAGTAATCTCTCACCCATTCTGTTTCCCAGTTTTTTGAAATGTATTTGTATATCTCACTTTAAGGAACAACTTTAGACCTGGAAGAATAAAATAGGAATGCAGAGTTTGTAGCGATCTAGAAGTAGAACTATGGCCATTTCCCTGCTACAGCATCTTCATAGCATCATTGCTGAAGTGATATAAAACCTATTCTCATCCCTGTTGTTTTGGCACAATGATGACTGATGACTTTAAAAAACACAGGAGAACACATGTAAATACAGGAGAAATTATAATCCCAGCATCCCTTATTCTTGACCAGGCTGGCAGGATAACTAGAAGTTGTAGTTCAACAACATCTGGTATGCTACAAGTCAGATAAGAGTAAACATTCTCCTGTTCATGTTTCTTATTGGAAGAAAACAATCTCTGACCATGTTTTCACACAACTACTATAGGGACTTCTCCTTTGACCTAGTTTGGTTCCCCAAATATGCTAAAACGGCATAGGACCCCACAAGACTTTGTGAAACATGCTAAAGGCCAGGGTCCTAAATGGATACGGTTGGGGCCAGTGTTGGGAATTTTCAAGGAATAAATGGATACATAAGTGCCTGCAAGATTTAATGCATTTTGCTTCTTGCCCACAAAGACCACAACATGCAAAAAGCGAAAATGTTTATAGCCCCATTTACTCTAGGTGGGTTGCTGGCAAGAAAAGGGGTGTTGGCAGGCTTCATTCATTGTTTTTGCTAGTTCTGTATTAAATCCAAAATCTGGATTAGTAAACTTCAATTCTTGTGTTCACATAATAGGTTAGAGGTAGAGGTAGGTTTGTCCCAATAAATATTATATTTATTTAGCTCACCAACCAACCCTGTGAGGTGTCTAAGAGAGAACAACAGGCCCAAATTCCCCCTGCTGGTTTTCATGACTATGGGAGACCTAGACTCACAATGTCCTGGTTTCTACATCAGCACTTCAATTATTAGACCAATTTGATTCTCAAATGAAATTAAACAAGGGTTTGGAACAGAGGTGGGTTTCAGCAGGTTCTGACCAGTTCTGGAGAACCGGTAGCAGAAAATTTGAGTAGTTCGGAGAACCGCTAGTAAAAATTCTGACTGGCCCCACCCCCATCTATTCTCTGCCTCCCAAGTCCCAGCTGATCAGGAGGAAATGGGGATTTTGCAGTAACCTTCCCCTGGAGTGGGGAGGGAATGGAGATTTTACAGTATCCTTCCCCTGCCACGCCCACCAAGCCACGTCCACAGAACCGGTAGTAAAAAAGTTTGAAACCCACCACTGGCTTGGAAGAAGAATAAACTATGTGAAAGAAGAAGGAAAGAAAAATAAACCATGTTGTGAACTGACATGACGATCTCGTCTTCAGAAGACAGGAGTTGGGTTCCTACAACACAACTACTACATATTACTTAGCTATATGTTGGCATGTGTGAATACGGTTTGTGATTATGATTATATAGCAAAATTAACACATATAGATTTGCCCAGTATTACGAAATTTATATCATGTTTAAATTTTAATCAGGTTTTGTGACTTAGACAGGGACAGCCCCTGAGTTAAGTATTAGCCTGAACCCAGATCGTAACCTTGATAAGTCTACCAGATAATTTTTGGTTTTAAACAAATGAGTAATCTTGCAGCCTGTGACTTTTGTGCCTAACCTTTCAGAAAAAGGGAGGTTAATTTCAAGTTTCAGATTTAATCATCCTTGTAATGGATTCCCTTTCAAATGCTCCCAATTTTATCAACATTAGATTCAACTTGCAGGAGTCCAAGCCTAAAAAGGAATCCAGGTGGAGTTGTTACCTACTTCTATACACAAGACTTAAAGCATGTCCTGCATCATTTCATTTATAATGTAAAAGGAAATAAAATGCCTAGTTGCACTGATTAGCAAATATCTGATTTCTGTTTTCTCTTCTGCATTCACTCAATCTAAATATTCCCATAAATAGGAAAAGCTCAAGGCCAAATTTAAATTTCATGGACGCTCTTAGAAGTTGATGAGAATGGAGCTTCAATTACATCTCTGGTGTTGGATTTTTTTTTCCCCCCTTGCAAATCTAGCTAATAAATCCAAACAGCCACAGCATCGCTTTGCCAGATTATGTGCAGTTTGCCCTCTACTGCACCTACTTCATTTTCTCTGCAGCCCTTCTGCCTAGCCAGTTATCTCCTCATTTTCCTTGTGCCATTGTATGCCCTTTCCTTGAACACTTGTCCTTCTTTGATTTTATCCTATTATTGTCAGTCCAACTCTCTTGGCGTGAGATTTTTAACCTGTTCTCTAAAGTGTCTGCAATTCCTTCCAAGTTATTATCATTGCAAATATGAGTATCATTGCAGATATGCTGCAGATTCCTTCTACTAAAGAAATGTCTGTCTGTCTGTCTGTTTGTCTGTCTGTATATCTATCTATCTATCTATCTATCTATCTATCTATCTATCTATCTCTCTATCTCTCTATCTATCTAATTTATATAATAAATTTCTTAACCATCCATCTCTCTCATTAAGAACCTATGAACTTTCAGACTATTAAATATATTATATTGCCTGCTATATAATCTTTCCCCCAACATTTTTATTTTATTTTTAATATAAAATATGGACATGGCATATAAGCACTGCTTGACCACAGTCCTCAGTATAGTCTGGGATGCCTCTCCATGACCAGTTTTCTTTCTTATCTTCTGGCAGGAGGCTTAGTGGTATCTGAAGCAGAACAACTAGATTCTGTAATGGCTTTGTACTATGTAGTATCAACCTTTCAAGACTCTTTTTTCCACACACATACACACATATATACACTACATACATATATATGTATGCATATGCCTTTATATTCTTTTGAGAGTGAACATCAGAATTTCATTTTCAGTGTGTGCCAGTGTGTGCACATTAAAAGTGACATAAACATTATTTATTAAGAATTTTAATTACAATTGTAAAAATTGTAAAAAAAAAAACAGTACTTAGAAGAGAATAGAAAGAAAGAATTAAAATGCAAGGAAAAAGCAAAAATAAGAAAGAAATCTAATTTAAAAAGAAAAAAATATAAAGAACATACTTCCTTGATCACAACAAAGTGTAAACAAATTTAAGAACTCTTCACCCCATGTCTCATTTCTTATTTACAAGCAAATGCATAAAACACCAACTTTTCAATTGTGAGGTCAACAGAAAGGCTATAAAGAGTTTCCAGAAATGTTGCAAAAAATAACTTCTTTAACATTGATCATATAAACCAGCTTTTTATGTGTATCTTTTACTTCTAACAGTCTTAATATTTAATTCAATCAAATATTGCTGTAGAATTTGATTTCAATTCTTTATCTCACATGAATTCTTCAAAGCTTTAACAAACTTATTTTGTGGATCCAATAAGAAAAAAGTTTCCAAGTTATTCTGGCTCATCATTTGTATCTCCCTGTTAATTTTTAAAATTTTAGCCAGTTTTTATTTGTTTTTGCATATCCAGTAAAATACTTTTTCCCAAATCATTCTCTTGGTCTGTAATTTGTAATTCCACATTCTGTACTTCCTCTACTGCATCTTGTCAAATAAAATTTGTTCCAAGACTGCCATTCCTTCAGTAACATATTTCAAATATAGTCTTATGCATAGAGGCAGGCATCATTACTGATAGTCTTGATATGGTAGTTACTACAGAAGTTATTCAAAAATCTCCTTTAATATTTCTGATGGTGTAATGTTTTGTAATTATCCGTAATAACTGACATCAGGCTTGCATTTTTTTCTTCTGCTTAAAATATTTAGTCCCCTCTAGTGTCCAGTTTCTAAAATCATCATTTTTTGTTATTTGTTACTTGCAATTGCCATGATAGTCAAAA